TAATGTTCCTGTACTGGTCTTGCTGTCTGCTCTGTAACCGTTAAGTTACACTGAGTACTTGCCAGCTTTTCATCAAGCAAGTAGAATATGATGTTCCTCTTAGACTGCCTGCTTCGGAATTGACAGAAGAGACTGTATGTGTGTGCGCGTGTGTCTGTGAGTATGCACCAACCAGCATGTATGATTTGCTTCTGTAAAGTTTCAGTGTGTGACTCCAGTTTAGTTTTGAAGTAGACATTTCTGTGAATTAATCCTTTAATTGATTTATTTTTTTTCATTAGAAACGTGCTGCACTTTTATGTGACTCAGCTATAAATAAAATGTCACATTTGGCATTTTGACACTTGCTGCTGTGTATATTGAGCAGAAAGGCAGCTGCTGACTTTTAATATAGATCTGTTCAACTAAGGGCCATCCATATTCTATAGTCAGAGATTAAACAGGAGTGAAGAAAAGTGCAGTTGCATGACTGAAAGAAGAAAATGGAAGCACAATTTGTTACTAGCTCTTGTTTGCAAGATAGTGTTTACCTTGTAGCATTGGCTCAGCTTTCAACTACAATATTAGAAGTTTTCTTGAAAAATAGACCATGTTCAGATCACTTATGTCAATCAGTTCACTAACTTGCAATGGCAAGTCTCAAATCCCTCTTAGATTATCTAAGATGTGACCATTTCTTTTATAAATTTCCATCGTTTTCATAAAGCTAATCTTTATCTCACCATGAATGTTCCTTGCTGTTCCCATGGGTGTTCCCTGAGTCACTAGACTTATTTCCATTTTCACAACAAAACATCTTGAAGTGTTTGTGGTTCAGAAGGAACTTGTATTGAATATTCAGAAGGATTTTTAAATTTAAAAATTCTTCTTTTATTTTATGTGTATGAGTGTTTTGCCTGCTTGTGTGTTTGTGTACCTTCTGTGTGTCTAGTGTTTATGGAGGTCAGAAGAGGGTGTTGGATCCCCAGAACTAGAGTTATATATAGCTATAAGCTGCCTCGTAGGGACCGAGAATCAAACCCAGGTCCTCTCAAAAAGCAACCAATGCTGGGCGGTGATGGCGCACGCCTTTAATCCCAGCACTCGGGAGGCAGAGCCAGGCGGATCTCTGTGAGTTTGAGGCCAGCCTGGGCTACTAAGTGAGTTTCAGGAAAGGCGCAAAGCCACACAGAGAAACCCTGTCTCGAAAAACCAAAAAAAAAAAAAAGCAACCAGTGCTCTTCTTAATCACTGAGCCATCTCTCCAGCCCTGAATTTTTTTTAGATTTATTTATGTGATGCATATGAATGTTTTGCTTGCATTTCTGTGTGTACATCACTTGCATGGCTAGTGCCTACAGGGGTCAGAAGACAACTCCAGATCCACTGGAACTGGGGTTACAGATGGTTGTAGCCACCATGTTGGTACTGGGAATTGAACTCCGGTCTTCTGCATGAGCAACAGGGGCTTTCAGCCACTGAGCCATCTCTCCAGCTCCTATTCAGATGGATTCTATTTAAGCACATGAAAGAAATATTTATCCTTGAAATATCTCTACTCTGCAAAGATAAAATAGACCAGATGGTCAAAAAGGAAGTAGGTTTTGAACATAAGAGGTGATGCATTTGATAATGAGTTTTAAATAATCAAGAGGTCTTGTTCTTGGAGGTGGACTCACTGCATGAGGGAAGGAGATACAGCAAGAAGTTTCCATTCCAGTCGACTTCTGCTAAATTTACCTTTTCAGAGTACAAGTATAATCAGTAAATACTTAACATAGCACTTTGTGACAGAGATACTGTTCCAGGCTTTATCTGTGTTAACTAGTTTAATCCTCACAATATCCTTATATAAGTGCTGTTATTCACCCTGCAGAGAGATAGACAAGTTACAGGACTTGCCCACATAGCTGATCCTGGCCTTTAACTATTGCATGTGTACTTGGACAGAAACCATGAGTACATCTGTATCTGAGTACAAAAGGCACTCAGCAGTTATGAGTGTGGCTCCACTTTCCCTTCAATCCTAGGTCCCATTTTCTTCTTGCAGAACTCTGTATTCTAGCCTCACTCTGTTACTATGTCCTAAATACAACTCTCTTCTTATCTCCGAGATTTTGCTTATGTTTTCTCAGCCTACAAAGCCCTCATGTTCATTCTGGTCCCTGTTTTATCTACATCCTGCCCATCTGGCATGCATCTTCAACCGACTTCTTTATAAAGCCAAAGTGATTTCACCTTAACAACTTGCACATTTCTCATGGTCCATGCCTGTGTCATGGTTATGTGTGTGTTTCTTGCAATATTTTTTTATTTGTATAGATTTTTCTTATTTTGGTTTCTTTTGAGACAAGGTCTTACACAATAGCCCTGTAAGTCACAAGCTGGACTTGAACTCAATATAATTCTCCTTCTTCAGCTTGCCTAGTGATGGGATTTCAGATGTAATAGTACAGAATTTTTTTAAAGTTCCTTAGAAAGGGAATATGATGTGTTATTCTTTGTGTATTAGGTGGCGTTTGGCCTAAGACTGCAGATGACAGGAAAGAAGGAAGTATCATGGTGGACACAAAGATTTGGAACCAGAGTTGGAGAGTAGGAGTGCAGAGTGCAGTGAGTGAGTGAGTGAGTGAGGAGTAGGAGTGCAGAGTGCAGTGAGTGAGTGAGGAGTAGGAGAGCAGAGTGCAGTGAGTGAGTGAGGAGTAGGAGTGCAGAGTGCAGTGAGTGAGTGAGGAGTAGGAGAGCAGAGTGCAGTGAGTGAGTGAGGAGTAGGAGAGCAGAGTGCAGTGAGTGAGTGAGTGAGTGAGGAGTAGGAGAGCAGAGTGCAGTGAGTGAGTGAGGAGTAGGAGTGCAGAGTGCAGTGAGTGAGTGAGGAGTAGGAGTGCAGAGTGCAGTGAGTGAGTGAGGAGTAGGAGTGCAGAGTGCAGTGAGTGAGTGAGTGAGTGAGTGAGGAGTAGGAGAGCAGAGTGCAGTGAGTGAGTGAGGAGTAGGAGTGCAGAGTGCAGTGAGTGAGTGAGGAGTAGGAGTGCAGAGTGCAGTGAGTGAGTGAGGAGTAGGAGTGCAGAGTGCAGTGAGTGAGTGAGGAGTAGGAGAGCAGAGTGCAGTGAGTGAGTGAGTGTGTGAGGAGTAGGAGTGCAGTGAGTGTGTGAGGAGTAGGAGTGCAGAGTGCAGTGAGTGAGTGAGGAGTAGGAGAGCAGAGTGCAGTGAGTGAGTGAGGAGTAGGAGAGCAGAGTGCAGTGAGTGAGTGAGGAGTAGGAGAGCAGAGTGCAGTGAGTGAGTGAGGAGTAGGAGTGCAGTGAGTGAGTGAGTGAGGAGTAGGAGTGCAGAGTGCAGTGAGTGAGTGAGGAGTAGGAGAGCAGAGTGCAGTGAGTGAGTGAGTGTGTGAGGAGTAGGAGTGCAGAGTGCAGTGAGTGAGGAGTAGGAGTGCAGAGTGCAGTAAGTGAGTGAGGAGTAGGAGTGCAGAGTGCAGTGAGTGAGTGAGGAGTAGGAGTGCAGAGTGCAGTGAGTGAGTGAGGAGTAGGAGTGCAGAGTGCAGTGAGTGAGTGAGGAGTAGGAGTGCAGAGTGCAGTGAGTGAGTGAGGAGTAAGAGTGCAGTGAGTGAGTGAGGAGTAGGAGAGCAGAGTGCGGTGAGTGAGTGAGTGTGTGAGGAGTAGGAGTGCAGTGAGTGTGTGAGGAGTAGAAGTGCAGAGTGCAGTGAGTGAGTGAGGAGTAGGAGTGCAGAGTGCAGTGAGTGAGTGAGGAGTAGGAGAGCAGAGTGCAGTGAGTGAGTGAGTGAGGAGTAGGAGAGCAGAGTGCAGTGAGTGAGTGAGTGAGGAGTAGGAGTGCAGAGTGCAGTGAGTGAGTGAGGAGTAGGAGAGCAGAGTGCAGTGAGTGAGTGAGGAGTAGGAGTGCAGTGAGTGAGTGACTGAGGAGTAGGAGTGCAGAGTGCAGTGAGTGAGTGAGGAGTAGGAGTGCAGAGTGCAGTGAGTGAGTGAGGAGTAGGAGAGCAGAGTACAGTGAGTGAGTGACTGAGGAGTAGGAGTGCAGAGTGCAGTGAGTGACTGAGGAGTAGGAGTGCAGAGTGCAGTGAGTGAGTGAGGAGTAGGAGTGCAGAGTGCAGTGAGTGAGTGAGGAGTGAGGAGTAGGAGTGCAGAGTGCAGTGAGTGAGTGACTGAGGAGTACGAGTGCAGAGTGCAGTGAGTGAGTGACTGAGGAGTAGGAGAGCAGAGTGCAGTGAGTGAGTGAGGAGTAGAAGAGCAGAGTGCAGTGAGTGAGTGACTGAGGAGTAGGAGTGCAGAGTGCAGTGAGTGACTGAGGAGTAGGAGTGCAGAGTGCAGTGAGTGAGTGAGGAGTAGGAGTGCAGAGTGCAGTGAGTGAGTGAGGAGTGAGGAGTAGGAGTGCAGAGTGCAGTGAGTGAGTGACTGAGGAGTACGAGTGCAGAGTGCAGTGAGTGAGTGACTAAGGAGTAGGAGAGCAGAGTGCAGTGAGTGAGTGAGGAGTACGAGTGCAGAGTGCAGTGAGTGAGGAGTAGGAGTGCAGAGTGCAGTGAGTGTGTGAGGAGTAGGAGTGCAGAGTGCAGTGAGTGAGTGAGGAGTAGGAGTGCAGAGTGCAGTGAGTGAGTGAGGAGTAGGAGAGCAGAGTGCAGTGAGTGAGTGAGGCGTTTGTTTTAGCTATTTTCTGTATGAAGGAAGAAGGAAGAGGAGAAACGCCCGAGGGGAAAGGGGCTGGAGTTCAGGAGAGAGGACTGTTTCATATATATGATGTATGCATAGATAACAAGTTATTCATGTATCCATAGACTCTTAATTTTTTTAAATATATCAGTTGGTTTTCATTTGAAAAATAAAGTATAGCTGCCCTGTATCCTTCCCAACTCTAAAATAATATAAGATGAAAGCTAATGTATAGTTTGATTGGTTATTTTGGTCAACACTAGTTAGATTCCTAAACTAGCCCTTAAGATCATGCTGTAGCTCTTTACTTCTGTAAATAAACACAATGCAATGTTTTAAAACCACCCCCTCTTTTTTTTTTTTTTTTAATGTCAGATAGGTAGTATGCCAACATCCTAACAAGGTTTGTGAGAATCACATGTCACTCAATGGCATGAACATCCAATATTTATTCTTATGAACCAAAAAAGCAATCACTTTTAGCATTTTCAAAAGAATAGGGTAAAGTAGCTTGTTTGCCTTCAGTTTATTCTTTAATCTACTAGTTTGATTTCAGAGCTTAAAACATTTGTTCTCTTTGGTACATATATTTCACTGAGGTTTTGGTTTGGTTTGGTTTGGTTTTTGTTTTCCAGACAGGGCTCTTGCTATGTAGCTCTGGCTGTCCTGGAACTTGCTCTGTAGACCAGGCTGGCCTCGAACTCACAGAGATCTGCCTGCTTTTGCATCCCAAGTGCTGGGATTAAAGGTGTGTACTACTATGCCTGGCTTGAGGTTTTTTCGTTTTTGTTTTTGTTTTTAAGTTAACCTCCCCTCCCCCATGCACACACATTTTTTTTTAATATTTGTAGAAACTGGGTCTCATGTAGCCAGCTTGGTCTTAGACTCACTATAACCAAGGATGGATGGCCTTTTTAACAATCTTTTTAACAAACTCTTTTTTTAAAAAAAGTATTTTTAATTATATATATGTGTACATGAGTGCAGGTCCTTGCGAAGACCAGAGGCACTAGATCCCCTTGGGAATGGAGTTAGTGATGGTTGTAAGCCACCCAACATGGGTGCTGGCTCTGAATTTAGGCCCTCTGCAAAAACAATGCATGCTTCTCCTATCCATTGGGCCATCTCTCCAGCCCTGTCATGACCCTTATGGACCAGTAGAATGGGCTCCTTTTAGAATTCCACTCTGGAAAAGATTTGAATGGATTTTGGATCAGAAGACAAGCCCTCCTTGTATGTCAGATCATGCTGGGAAGTTGAGAGGACTATTTCTGATATCCACTTTAACCATTGACAGTCACACTGGTAGTTAGCTTTAAATGAACCAGCTTACACTTAAGATTTAACATTCTTGGTGTGACTCTCTTCCCCGTTATCAGGAATGGCAGGTGCATTGAGGGTTTCCCCCACTGTGCTATTTCTTTTATTTATTTTTTTGCCTCTGGAAGTGGTTGACAATACCTTTGTCCCCTTTTAGCTCAGAGTTAACTAAAGTAGTGTGTTGCTTCTCCGTCATCTCTCACTGTTCTCTCCCCTCCTTCATAAGAACCAGTTGCAGCAAGTCCCCGACCTGACTGACATTGAAGGGGTCATATCCAGTGGCGAAGTGCCGTTCTCAGTGGTCAGTCCCACTGACTGATGCACAGCCTGCTCCTGAACTCAGCTGCTGTTTGTCTGACCTGGTGCTTTTACTGGGTGTTTTTAGAGAATCCATTCGCTTCTGTAATAAAAATGACCATCTTTTGCCCATGTTGATACAGACTACAGGGACAGTAGCCCGATATCTGTTAGCCTGCTTCTCTTTTAGACATCCCAGAATCTCATTAGCTGTGTGCTTTTCTGACAAGCCTTTGTCCTTTTCCCATTCTGCTATAGATTTCTAACTTGTCTGTGTGCCTGAATTTTCAGTCACTTCTTTGGGGCTTGAAGGAGGGCTTTTTAATAAATGTTGATTAAATTTATTGGGTAATGCAGTTGATTTAGACTAATATTCATACTTGCATACACACACAAAAGATTCAGTACATATTTGTCTAGTATCTTTGAAAGTTTTGTTAATCATGGAGAAGTATGATATAGCAATTTTCCTAGGGACACATATTTCTTAGTTACATCATAAAAGGTTTATGTTCTGTGACACTCATTTATAGCAAGAACATGTATGTGGTTAGCTAAGAATGCAAGGGAAAGGCATAGTAAAGCACACTGCAATCCCTGAATTTGGGATCATAGGCAAGGAGGAGCAGTACAAGTTAGAGGCTATCCTGGTCTGCACAGTCCAGGCCAGCTAGGGCTTCAAAGCAAGACGCTGTATTTGCGGGGTGGGGAGATAGATTGTTCATATTTACACTCAAATAGCAACGTCTAGAGGCAGGACTCTTTAAGCCTTTTACACCCATAATCCCATTGTGCCGGGAGCCCACATATATAGATTTATTTGTTATTTTCCTCATTGCTTTAACAATATACCTGATAAAAGCAGCTTAAGAAAGGAAAAGTTTGTTTTGACTTACAGTTTAAGGGTTCAGTCCATCACGGCAGGGAAGGTAGAACAATGAAGCATTCACATTGCCACCGCAGGCCGGAAGCAGAGGGGTGGTTTCTGGTTTTTAGCTCCCCTTCTCTTTATTCAGTCAGGGACCTTTCCCATGGAGTGATGCCACCCACATTTAGGATGATGTCAGTTCTGACGTCAGTTAACACATCTAAAACTCCCTATAGACATGCCCAGAGGTTTATCTTATAGATGATTCTAGACTCTGCCAAGAAGACAATACTGGCACCACAGCAGGCATGTGGAAGAAGTATGCAAATTGAACATTCAATTATAACTAGTCACACTTATTCTAAGATGTGTGGTTTTTTTTTTTTTTTTTTTTTTTTTTGGTTTTTCGAGACAGGGTTTCTCTGTGTAGCTTTGCGCCTGTCCTGGAACTCACTTGGTAGCCCAAGCTGGCCTCGAACTCACAGAGATCCGCCTGGCTCTGCCTCCCGAGTGCTGGGATTAAAGGCGTGCGCCACCACCGCCCGGCGATGTGTGTTATTTTTTAAATTATGTTTATGTGTGTATCTGCGTGTACATGAGTGCAGAGCCCACAACAGCCAGGAAAGGGTGTAGGATCCCCTAAAGCTGGAGTTACAGGCAGTTGTGAGCGCCAGACACGGGTGCTGGGAACTAATCTCAGGCTCTCATACCATTAACCACTGAGCTATCTTTCCAGCCCCAAGAAATTGATTTTTAAAATAACCCGTTAGTGTACTATAATTTTACTGATAACAAAGACAAAAGCAGACTTACATACTGATGAGAAGGACGTTCTTATTTTGCACAGAGAATTCCATCTTGACCGAACATTTGCTGCTGTCAGGCATAGAGCATCCTCCACATTTGCAGTTGCTCAGTATTTTGATGTGATGATTGTCAGTGCTGAGGATGCTACTTCACGTAATACATAGTACAAAATGGCACGAGTAGGTTCTGCCATTTCAGGAGTGGTTGGGGATTCTGTCCTAATCGCAAGCCAAAATTCATTTAATGATTTTTCATTAATGAAAGTAAAGTCAGCAACTCAAAATAGTTTTTAAAATCAAACATTCTGACATAATGTAATCCAAAGATAACTTAATTTGAAAACTGCTGAAGAATGATAACAGGCCAACACTAAAAGTCTTTGTTTTCCCTTATGTCCAGAAATGTCTGTGTACAATAAAAGCACCACAGTTCCCAACGTGGAGGGGTCTCTGAGCTGAGCCGTCTCTGGCAGCGCTCTTCACTCTGCGTGGGAAGACGGCGTTCAGTGCCGAATGCACTGGGCAGCACGGCTGCAAACACCTCTGCTTCCTTGTGTTTGATGTGTGCTCATGGGGTTTTCAGAAACCTTTTACTGTCACCAAAGAATTTAAGGCCCCCCATATTCAGTTACCTACATCGTAAAAGCCGGGATCTGGAGCTTGAACTCAGATTTTGCCTAGGCCATTCCTTAGCATGTGATCGTGGGCAACCTAACTCAGGAACCTCTGTTTGAGGATTACAAATATGCACACATATAAAACCCTATAAGTATCTGTGTTAGCTAAAATTAATGGAACTAACTTAAAGAACTTTTTTTTGGGGGGGGGTTGGTTTTTCGACACAGGGTTTCTCTGTAGCTTTGGTGCCTGTCCTGGAACTCACTCTGTAGACCAGGCTGGCCTCGAACTCACAGAGATCTGCCTGCCTCTGCCTCCTGAGTGCTGGGATTAAAGGTGAGCACTGCCACCGCCCGGCCTTCTTGAAGGTTCTTAGCTGTAGTCTTTTCAGTAGCCGTAAGCAGCTGGCTTAGAGTGGATTATAAATACTGTGTACTTTTACTTTGTCAAAGTGTAAATGTCACCGTACTGACATTTTCTAGCCAACGGAGAACTTATATGAGAATAGAGCCACTGCTTTAGTGAATTAGAAGGGGTACTTTCTGTTTGAATTACGTATGTATTTCATATGTTCAAAAACTTAAAAACTGATACAAAAAGTAAACTCTAATATTGAATACAAATTAAAATCGGGTAACATAAGTATATACCAAATTGATAATATAACTATTAAGAAAAAAAGTTAGCTCATTAACCTTTAAAAAAATTTATTACAGGAGGCAGAGGCAGGCAGTCTCTCAGAGTTTGAGGCCAGCCTGGTCTACATACTGAGTTCCAGGACAGCCAGGGCCACATAGAGAGACCTTGTCTCAAAACAACAGCAAAAAATAGTTAATTACAAGTATTTATTTTATTTGTGTATGGGGACAGTGTGCATGTAGAGATGAGAGCACAGCTTGTGGGAGTCAGTTCTCTCCTAATACCACCATAGGGGTCCTGGGATTGAACTAGGCTGTCTGGCTTGGCAGCAAGAGCCTTTACCTGCTGAGGTGACCTGTGACTTTTGGCGCAGATCTCTGAGTTTGCATTCAGCCTGATCTATAGAGTGAGTTCCAGGATAGCCAGGGCTATGTACAAAGAAACCCTGTACCGCCACCCTCCCAAGAAAAGAATTTCATTCCCTGCAGTCATGCCCACCTTTTAAAACTGCCTTCCCAAATTAAAGAGCCTTTAAGATGTATACTCTAAGTCAGTATTAAGTATACTCTAAGATGACCTGAGAGTAGTTTCCTGAGTTTTAGCTAGTGCACAGATCACTTACTTTTAGACAGATCTGATACCAATAACTAAGGGAATTTTTATGTGATGGAGCTGCATTCTCACAGACACTAATTTATTGACAATTGGGGGTGCTTTGTGATTGTGTGAGACAATGTAGAGACATAGGAAGAGAGTGGGTAAACAGTACAGTTGGTGGATCTATGTTCTTTACGTGAGCTGTGGGAATGTGTAAACTGATTTTGAGATGGTTCACCCATTGAGGAAGGCAAGTAAAATTGTGGTGAAGTCAAGGTGTACTAACCAGTTAGTTGTTAATGAACTCTGTGTCCTGTGGAAGAGGGGA